TCCCCCGACTGACTTCTTGTAGTTCCCCCCCTCCTACCTCCCACATTGACTTGTCCCATATCATGCTTTGAGCAAATACAATTTTAACAAAGGCAAGCAGCTATTTCTTCCCACAGTTTACAAAAGCCACATAATTAGTAGTCCTAATTTAAGAAAAAAGTAATGGAAGATTGCTTGAGGAAAGGAGTGGAAGGCTGCCCATCAAAGTGCCAGAAAAGGCTCTTGTGGTTTAAAGATAGATCACAGCATTGAAACTAAGGGTCAATTTTCTTTTTAAGAAAAAAATCTTCATGTGTATCCAGACCATCAGCATAAAGCCTGCATCATGAGTGATTCAGAATCTCATTCTGAGGGGCATGTGACTCACAACGTTGGAGTAAAATGGGAAGGAAGATGTCCAGGTACCTTTAAGACCAGCAAGCCTGGCACCTCCTCCACATACAACCATCCTACAGTCAAGATATAGGGCTGACAGAAAATTAGATTGCATTGGTTAAATAAGAAGCTGTGAATTAGGAGCAAGAAGGAGGAAATGCTGAGTTTTTTGAGGGAAGTATTAAATAAGAAAATTCTCCAATCTTCAAAAAATCCTCCAGCAATCTATTCTATTCATCCACAATGTATAATAAGTGATAACATTATTTCCTCAATGTCAAATTGTACCCAAATATCTGGCCCTGCTGGGAATCTTTCCCCCATTTGCTTCCTTTTTTTTTATTTCACAACCCTCTTCTCCCCCTATTTCTTATGCCTGGCCTACATTTTATACCAATATATTATGAATGCTGAAACCATGTACTATGGCTACTGAAGAGCCCAGGGCAGCCCCTGGCCCCAGTCTGCAGCATCTGCTTGCCTCACCCTGCCCCACATGCAGATCCAGGGGGCACATGCCCCCAAGCCCTTCCGGGGCAAACGCAGCAGTGGGAGCTGCCCCCCCTCCTCACATCCCCCTGGTGAGTTGCAGCTCTGTCACCTGGACCATGGGTGACAGTTCTGGGTAACAGCCAAGAGTAAATTTAAACCTATCCTAGATTTTTTTCCCCCTAGTTTTTCTCTTCTATGGGATAACTCCATGATAATACCAGCACTGTCACTGTACTTGGAAAAGCATGGTTAATATGTATTACTACTGTGCAAGACTTGGTGTATGGGATGTTGATGCACAACATTTATAATGTGGCTATCTGAATTATAGGTTTGGGGCTTTATTCTCAGCGGGGGTAGTAGGCTTTTAATCAAAGAATTTCAAATGGAAACTGCCTTCTGAAACAATATACAATATCTCATGGAATTATCATGATCAATGTTCTATATTTCTTTAAAATTAAAAATATCTTAATACATTGGACAAGAAACAACTATTTTGTGTCCAGTTAGCAGTATGGGCTATGGTTTCCCAGATTTTCCATATTTTGTCCTTTAACAGTTTTTCCTCAATAATAATTCAGATTTCCTCAAATAATTGGATTTTTTAACAAAACAGAAAATTTTCATTCTAAATATTTCATGAAATTCTGTATGGCTTTTGGTAAATCATAGAAGATTATTTTGAAAAGGATTCAGGGATTGTTTTTGATGTTTCAGTGTTGCAATGTTCAAATCTTAGATGTTTTGAAGAGTTAGCATGTGTACCATATATACATGCTGCTTCAGCCATCAAGAATGATTTTCAACAAAAAAAAACCCATGCCCATACCACCCAGTAATTTACCAGTTAAGCCATTTCTAAGCTGCCACTTTCACTGGTCTACAGTGTGGTGTTTTAGAAAGGTTTGCTCTGGTTTTGTTATTGAGAGCTCTCCTGCAATCATGTATGCTCACAGGCAGGAGAAAAAAAACAAACCCAAACCAGCCACTAAAGCAGCTAATCTCTTTCAAGTATCTTCTGTGAATTCAGACTTGAGGAAGTCAAAGAAAATTTTTGTGCCAATCTAATTAACCCATAAGCCTCATGCACTATTGTCTAGTTAAATCAATTCATTGAGCTACTGGAATTAAAATACTGGCCAAGAAAATTAGAAATGAGCCTTACATTTACCAATAATTTTGGAAAATAATAAGCCAGTTTGTCTGCAGCTTTACCCCCTATGCTCCACTGATTTTTAATATGTGCTGATTTTTTGTTTCTTTGTTTCCCAGACAGAAATGATTTGTTTTAGCTTCAGTGAAAGTATCCTCATAGTATAGGTTCAGATTAAATGAAATAATAAGCATGATGCTTATAAATTCAAGTTAGCGGAATACAGACTAAACATACTTAAAATGTATCTCCAGCATTTGCATCTATACCATGGAATATGCACTGGTGTTTTTAAATGTTCTCAGTAAGCTAAGCAAGATTTTATATAATTAATAAACAGTTAATGGCATTGATTTTTATGGCTTGGTTTATTGAACTCCTTATCAGTATTGGGCAGATGGGACATAACTATGAAAAATTATTTTTTAAACATGATTACTGGACTTGAATTATATTTGAACATTTTTGTTCAGTGAAGCATTTATAAATATAATTTAACTTGCACACCAAGCCCTCAAAGTTAAGGTATTTATTCTGTGTTTAGTACAATGATATTTAAATGATGCTTCTAAAGCACATTTTTTAAAAACCAAGCCAAAACAAAAATGAAGTTGGGGGGGGAGGGGGAAACCATCCTATGTCAGAAGGAAGTGCTGCTTAAGATTGCATTTTGCAATGAAATGTTTGATTGTTTTTGTTTTTTTTTAATTCAGTATTTAGAAAACCTTTTTGTTTAATACTCTGCCTTAATATTGTATCAGGGATGATTTTTTATTAAGATTGTGGATTACAACATAGTTTGCTGTTGACATGAGTATAAAGTATAATCTTTATCTTCTCATATAGAATATCCTTTTTGTAGTCTCTGAAATTAAGTTGAAAAACAGCGACAGCACTAACCTTTTTTTTGTATGCAAGGAAATGGTCAAGGGTTGGATGTGGAAGTTTACTGGAAATGAACCCATTTAAGCTTGATGTGTGCACTTGTGTGATTAAGATGTAATATTATAATTAACCCCAAGCTTTATTATCTATTATGAGCCAATTGGTTTTAATGGAAACACATCCTAATATAAGTATATACTGAAGAAATAAGATAATTAATGTGCTTGTGGCTTTTTTAAAATACAGCAATATGACTCCAACATACTCATCCTTCTACCATGTGTTAATTAACTCAGTAATGGTTCCTTGAAAGCAGAGTAAATATGCACCTTGTAGACTAAATGAATCAGAAATATAAACTTCTTGAGCAGGAGCTCACCTCAACAGTTTCTAGGCATCTAAAATTAAAGACACTCTTTTCTGGTTTTGGTGCTCTGGTTTTAGAACAACTTTTCTGCTTTTGTTTTTGTTTTTTGTTTGTTTGTTTCTAGTTTGCGGGGCTTGGGGATGTTTAGGATTATCTTGTTTTAAACCTAAACTCTTAAGCATCTCATTCATTATGGCCCCATACTTTGTTCAGCCATTTAAACAAATGCATTATGGAGGTATTATCAGAATGGTAATATTTTTATACCCACTTTGCACCAGAGTACATGGCTGACTACACAAGGTGCTAGGCAAAGATAAACCATGCCTTGGTGAGAGAGAAATGCCAGAATGCTCTGTCCATCATTGTGTGCCTGCGGAAGTGGATCAAATCCTGAAATCCCCATTTCATTAAAACTAGACAATGGGAGTCATACCAGAGTAAAGACTTCAGTATTTGATCTACAGAGAATTTTTTGAGAAACCAGTTGCGGGGGAATCAAACAAAGGAAAAGAGAATTCAAATCACAATAGTTATTACACTTCTCCTTATAGAAGGTAATTTCTAAGTCTAAATTCATATTAATATTCCTTAAGAAATGTTGGTAATGTGTACAGTTAGGTAGAAGGCCAGTGAGGACTACCGTTACTTATTTATACATTTTTAAAAATCACCAGCAGGGCACGACTGGGAGGGGCCCCCCAGCAGCCTGCACTTCCGCCACTGACACTTCCACTGCCAACGTGAGGCCAGCGGAGCCAATTTTAGGGGAGGCACAAGCACTCTCCATGTCCCCCTACCAGCTGGAGCTCTCGCTGTCATGGGAGGCATGTGCCTCCCCGCATCCCCTTCTACATGTTTAAGATTATGCAGAAAGCTAAAACTACTTGAAAGCATATTCTTATTGCTATTCCTTCCCTCTGCTTTTTCTGGTGTTTGTGACACTCATTTAGATTTCATTTTAAATTGGCCCTCATCTTTTGTCAAGAACTTTTATGCAAATACAGAATCTTCCCATTCTAGTAGTGTTGGTATTGAAAGTCCCTGACTGGAAAAATACCAGGCCGTCAGAAAATCCCTAAGTATTTTGAGAAACTTGTAGATCATGAATCAGTCCACAGTCAGTGTCTCTGTCACACTACAAAAGTTGCACCTCAGAAATAGTTGGAAAAGTTAAATCTGGTAAAGAGTTGGAACTGAAACCCTAGAAAACTCTAGGTGTCAGAGCCATGCACAGAGAAGCAATTTCTTATTCTTCAGCTGTTCATGTTCTACAGACAAATGTTTATCACATCCCTTTTATGTTTTGGTACTCAGAGGCTCAGTTCTGAACAATGCTTGGAGACCAAGCTGGGGTGAAAGATTGGCCTTTAACTTGATCAGTGTAAAATCTTTCCTTTTAAAAGCAGTTTTAGAGTTCCGTTTCCGTACAGCAGCTTTTTTTGCCTTAAAGTGTTTAGATCTGACATAAAACTGTGCTTGCCAAAGATTTTATCTTCCATATAAATCTTTTACCCACTTACCCAGTTCCTCCCTTCCTATACAACATTTTCTATATGTATGTTTGTTATGGTATTGGCCAATCGGAGAACCTTGGGCTTGTTTTCAAATGAATTTACAGTTGTTATTTTAATTATGTATATCACAGTAGTACTTAAAGGTCATCAGTCAAGATCAGGGTCCCAGTACACAAGGGACAATACAAATATTTAATAAGAGACAGTTCTGGCTTCAAAAACATTACAGGACTAAACAGACAAAAGATGGAAGAAAGCAAATATTCTGAAATCCCAGGTCATAATCTCAAGACTATCCTTCCTTTCATATTGTCGTGTACTGAAGTATTTATTTATTATTAAATTTTAAAATATTTTCTGTTGTAATTGTTATAAAGAAATAAGTATTAAGCATGTTAAAGAGGTCTAACAAATTGTGGTTATATTTCATCTAGCCACTAAGTAACTTCTTTGAGCCTTTGTCTCAATGTCTGGCTTAAAGCCTAATGAGTTGCCAAATGTCACAGTGCACAGAATCAAAGAGTATCTCAACCAGCAGCTTCTAAAGTAGCTGTATTATTATACTAATGAGTGGATTTAAAACTCAACTTATTTGCATGCATATATTTCAACTCATGCTCAAGTATCAGCTGTGCCCTAATCACTCCGG